AATATGATCGACCCTGCGAAGTCTGCTGAGCTGGTCGCGGCGAGATGGGGCGGAAAGGCGAGTTATGACAAGCCTGAGGCTCCTCTGACTGAGGCTGGGATGAAGAGTGCGTCGTTGGAGGATCGTGCCTACGCACTATCGCAGCTGAATCAGATGGTGAACTTTCACAAGAAGCACCTCTGCTCTGGGCGAGGAGCGTTTTTGGTGAGTGCAGCCGCCCCTAGTGGACCCTTTGCTCCTGACCAGTTGGATGAAAGCAGGAAGTTCAGGCCTAGTGGGGCGGCGAGCAAGATGACCTACAATCTTGTGATACTGGATGGGAAGGAGGATTATCTTGCCGATAGGCGAGAGATCAATCCAGAGTTAAGGGAAACGGGAGTTATCCCTGATGAGGCCGTCACTTGCCGGTTGGGCGAATACCTCCCGAACTACGAGGAGACCGTGGGCACTGTTGCAGGACGGGAGGCGGCGAAGGAGTTGATGAGACTGCTCTCGTGCGATTTCGACGGTTTGGTCATCAATTCAAAGAGAGTCTCGGAGTTATTCGAGGAGACCGGATGTGAGGCTGGAAACTGGGTGAAAAGTGACCAGGCCATCTGGTTCCTGAAGGAGATTTCGGGTATGGAGAACGCTGAGATGTCTTGGAAGTTCTTCATTCCGACGCTCAAAGCTTTCCCGATAGGGCAAGTGGAGGCGATGCTCATGGTCATGTACGACGGGGATGGCGTTCTCCTCAAGGAGAGCACCAGGTTGGTTGCCGTTAGGCACACGCGGATCGGACGCGACTTGAGTTACAGTGCCGTTAGGCACAGGTATACTCAGGAAGATGCACCTGGCGGATCTCTGATGTATGAGATGCATTGGAATGAACTCCCCATGGTGGGATACGTCATCATGAAGTTCTCGGACTTTCGGAAGGCGGTTCAGCTCCAAAGGGTGAGGCGAAATGGAAAGGCCATGATCGAGATATTGATCACGAGGCCCGATGTGTACGAGACCATTGGGGATGGTAGACAGGATGAGGGCCTGATCCCATTGTGGGAGCCATGGCGCCGGATGCCGAGGTATCGCCTTCGTGGTATGTCAGGGACAGGCTGCGGAACTACTCTGGCAGGTACGTGGTGGTAATGGTGGATCTTCGGGTGCACTGGTCCTTCATTAAACCCGTGTTTTTGACAAGAAGGAAGACTCTTGCCGTTAGGAACGAGATCCACATGGGGGCTTGGAAGGCGGCGTATATGTACGATGATTACACGATAGTGTACCGTCGGGCATGGGACTACGGTGACTTCACCCCCGTTAGGGGAGAGCACAAGCGATCACGGGAAGAGATCAGGCTGAATGTGACTGCCACGTTCTGCTTGAGGTGCGCAGAGGTGTCGATGCGGCGTGGGATGAGCTGGCGAAGGTGCTATTCCAATTCTCCTATGTGTCCGGGATTTCGGCATCGGATGCGTTTGTGGAAAAGTGGGTGGCGAAGCACCTGATCAAGACCAACCAAGTCGATAGATTTGAGTCGGTCACGGAGTACTTCCGGGCCAACCCAAGACACGCTGCTCAGTGGGGTAGGCGTATGACGACTTCCGTTAGGAAGTTCGCTCGTCATGACACTTACTTGTCATTCTATATTCCGATGGCATACGTGATTGGTTCTGCGGCTGGTCATCTGACCCCATTGTACCCGACTCATCGAAAGGACGTGGACATCCTGGAGAGTCATGCGTTGATTTCGCAGCTCAGGAAGTACATGGTATCGGAGACGGGGTACGATGAGAAGAAGAGGTTGAAGGAGGCGATAGCCAAGGTGCAGAAGGCGATCAGCGCCGGACAGTCGGAGCCTCCCGCACCCTTCCGTGACCCGTTCGTCTACGTTAGTGACGAAAGGGTGAGGACGGTTCTTGACGGTCGTCAACCCGAACCTTTGAACGTGGACATCGAGGGACTCCAATCGGTGCATCATGCTGCGCCGGGTCCTGGTCCCAAGCAAGAGCCGGTCCCCAAGGGCGGAAAAGGAAAAGGGAAGAAAGGGGAAAAGGGCGGTAAGGGCGGTAGTCCTTCCGGCCCACCACCGAAATCAGGTGATGTGCCAGGTAAAGGATCTGGTAAGGGCGGTAGCCCATCTGTCCCAAAGGCAAAGGACGATGCTGGACCTGCTCCGATGGAGGTAGATACAGCGGCAGCTCAGCCGAAGAAGTCTTGGGCCGAGATGGTGGTTGAAGGAGCCAGGCCGAGTGCCAAGGCTAAAATGACCCCGATTCCTAAGGCCGAGCCGAGGGGGAAGGCCGCTTCAGCTTCTGAGGCGAAGGGTGCCCCGGCTCCAAAAGCTGTGGCTAAGGAGACGAAGCAGGCCGAACCGAAGGTTGAGGTCAAGAAGGAGAAGACAGGAGGAGGTGACGCTCCCGGCGGTAGCCGCGGGTCGGCCGAAGGACAGAAGAGAGAAAGGAAATCCCGTTGGGATCCCGACGAGGCTGCGAAGGAGTCGACAAAGCGGGAGGCGTCCACGAGGCCTGGCGACGTCGACAGCAGACCAGGTGCGGCAGCGAGAGAAGCTAGCGGGGATGATCTTCACTCCGCGCTTGGCAGATCTTCGGCAAAGGATGCGGTAGCGCCTTTGACTGCCTCCAAGGCGATGGCAAAGAAGCCTGAAGGCGGGGAGATCCGGCTGCAGTCTGCTGAGCTGCGGCGAGCCCGGTGGAGGGTCACTTCCTGGTACTGCCTGAGAGTTCGGTGGTGGATGCTTTCTTGTCGATCTCCACCAACAGAGTGCTGAGGACGCGTCGGCACCGGAGGCTCTCAACCAGATCGTGACGAACTCTCGATCTGGGAGGAGGCGTAGGGAATCGGATGTTTCCCGTACTCCTTCTCGGAGGTCCGTTAGGACCGTGGACACCAGGGATTCCAGGGAGTTGAGGAGGCGCAGATACCGTCCGCGGCGCGAGGATGATCGCGACAGGAGGAGGGACGATGCTCGTGATCGTCGTGATGATGATTCACTCGATCGGGAGCGAGATCGAAGGCGAGATGATCGCAGGAGATCCGAAAGGGATCGTGACAGGGACCGTGCGCGGGGCGGGCGTGACCGGAGGAGACGTGACGATAGCCGGTAGGCTGAGTCACGGGGATTGCGGCCGATAGGCTTACGTCCATTCTCCAATGGTCGGCGCGGTATGGAGGTGGTGATGTTCCTCCCGGACCGCTGAGGCGCGGAGGTCATGTCTCTCCCGTACCGCTGCTGAGCTGCTGGACGTGCTCATCCGGAAGCAGTATGAGTGAGAGGGAAAGCAAACTGATGGGGGGTTACTCCCGGGTTTGCGGAATTCAAGCATATTTCAGGTACGCATGGTCAGGGGTACCTCTTGCCGTTAGGCGAGGGTACTAATGGACATACGTTATCTTTTATTTCATGGCTTCTGATAAGAATTAAACTTCTTGCATTGTCGATGCAAACAGTTGTGACCTAATGTCGTCATGTGGACTTTTCCACAAGGTGTGTTGGACAGCGTTACCCCGATTAATTCGGGGTGGTGGCGGGAATTTAATGCCCGGGATGTCGCGCAACTGCCTTTGTGGGTTTGCTCCACCGCTGACGGCGGTAGTGTCCAGCTGTTTGCGGACGCATGCGAGCAGTTAAATCCTATCAGTAAATGGCACGCTCCACCCGTCATATGACGGGCTCCTCGTGAGGGGGGTGTGATTAGCCATGGTTCATATCATCATCAGGGACGTCGCGTTAGTGACCGACCTGTGGTGTTTTGGCTCAAGTTTTGGATCCGGCGCGCCTCGGATGAGCGTCGCCGGGCCCTCACGTCGACCGCCTTCGTGTCGGAGGAGAAAGAGACTTCGGCCCGGGGTAGGTTGGTGGGGATCGCCCGTGCGGTTCATCGTCGATCTAGGTTGCGGGTATCCTTTTCTGGTTTGGTTTGTTTTCCTTTGGTTGTTGTTCTCTGGTGTGTGGGAAACCCTGATCTTTGGGACCGGGGATTGGTTTGCTTTTGGGGAACCTTTCTTTTGTGGCTTGTTTACCCCAACTTACCCATTGCCTGGGCACAGGTTCGTGCCCGAATCACAGCTTTATTACGTCGGCAGCACACCAGGTCTATTGTGATAATTTTCTGGCGAACTGGGTGTGGGTGTGCGGCTATGTGGGAGCGTCCGTGGCCGTGTTTCCTCCTTTCCCGATAGCGGTTTCCTTTGGTTACTTGGCAAGTGGATTTAGCTGGGTGTGGCTTGACAGTTTTCAGCAGAGCTTCTCTTCACTATGGCACATGGGTATGACTCGTTCAGCAATGAATATCTTGCTTGGCGACCTTGCTTCGCGCAGACATCCGATCCCACTCCGCTTCTTTGCTTGAATGAGCTTCTCGGTGTTTCCTGAAATTCGAAACGATAGACAGCCAGTTGCTGTCTGGAGGCATTTCGCCCTCTTGCAGCTCCTGAATGTCCTTTCTACCGGAGTTGAGCACAGCCTCCACTTGGTTCACGTAACAGCACAGAGTCGCCGCCCCCCTTTTGCTGCAGTTCTTTGATGCTGCCACCTGGTCATGTCTGTCACCTGGTCCAGACCCGTTTGCGTGGTTGCTGATTTCTCTCTCTCTTGTTTTTTCTCTCTCTTTTTTTTCTTTTCATTTTTTTCCCGGTGCCCCTTGTTTTCGTTTTGGGCTGGGGTTTGGGCCCCCCTTGTTTTGTTTTTCAGCAACCTGGCTTTGCTGCTGCTGAGGTAGTGGTGCATTTGTTTCTCTTTGTCAGATTTGCGGACCATCGATATCGACAAAGGCTGCTAGGTGGAAACTAATTTTAATCAGAAAGAAAACAGTTCATTAGAGGCAGCAACCTGGAATGGTGATTTGATGGTTTTTGGAATGTGTAATAGCGTAACTGCACAACCCGCAGAGCCAACACGGATGTGTTTTTTGGGACCCGGTGGCAAGATGCGCCAGGCTCGCCATTCGGGAAGTGTATGTTAGCGCCGTTGGCAATCCTCAATGAACGCTGTTTGTTTCAGGCTCAAGCTCATTTAGAATTTGCGCGTACCGTGCGAGGTTGCGCTCGCGCGATGCATCGCTTTCTTCGATGGGGCGCTCGATTCCCATCCTCGAAGTCGAGCTGCGCTTCTGGAGGCAAAGAAACCAAAAAGACACTTATATACAGATATACATAGATTTGCAGAACTTTGCTCGCGCGCAGACCTATATTGAGGCGTGTCCGCGTTCATTAGCATTGGGCTAGCAGCCTACGTTGCAGCTCCGCAACAGGCCAGTGTTGTGCCAGCCACGTGTGCGCCGAGTATTTGCAGTGTTTTCGTGCCAGTCCCGCAGCCGTTGTGATGATGTTCCTGAGCCACTTGGGTCTCCCACGAGCACCAACACTTTCAACCGAAGTAGACTTTAGATATTTTAACGCCTCCGGCTCAGGCCGCCGACACTACAGGCCTGCTTTCTTATTTGCGTCCCTTTGGAATTGTCCCCTTGCCCCCTTCCCCTCTAAGATTTTTGCCCCCCTTTCCCTGTTGAGATCCATTCCCCCTTTCCCCTCTAAGGCCCTTTCTCCCTCTCAGATTTTTTCCCTTTTCCTCCCTAAGATGTTTTCCCCCCTCTCCCTGTTGAGATCCTTTCCCCCCTTTCCCCCCTAAGGCCTTTTCCCCCCTGAGATCTTCTCCCTTTTCCTCCCTTTCCCCCACTTTCCCCCCTAAGGCCTTTTCCCCCCCTGGGATCTTTTCCCTTTCCTCCCTGAGATCTTTCCCCCCCTTTCCCTGCTGAGATCCTTTCCCCCCTTTCCCCCCTAAGGCCTTTCCCCCCGCTGAGATCTTCTCCCTATTCCTCCTTAAGATCCTTTGCCCCTTTTCCCTGTTGAGATCCTTTCCCCCCTTCCCTTTAAGGCCTTTCCAGATCTTCTCCCTTTTCCTCCCTAAGATGTTTTCCCCCCTTTCCCTGTTGAGATCCTTTCTCCCACCCTGAGTTCTTCTCCCTTTTCCTCCCTAAGATCTTTTCCCCCTTTCCCTGTTGAGATCCTTCCCACCCTTTCCCCCGTAAGGCCTTTCCCCCCTGAGATCTTCAATTTTTTCCTCCCTAAGATCTTTTGCCACCTTTCCCTGTTGAGATCTTTGCGCCCTTTCCCCCCTAAGGCCTTTTTTTCCCCCCGCGATCTTCCCCCTTTTCCTTCCTAAGATCTTTTCCCCCCTGTCCTTGTTGAGATCTTTTCCCCCCCTTTCCCCCCTAAGGCCTTTCCCCCCCCAAGATCTTCTCCCTTTTCCTTCCTAAGATCTTTTCCCCCCTTTCCCTGTTGAGATCCTTTCCCAACCTTTCCCCCCAAAGGCCTTTCCCCCCTGAGATCTTCTCCCTTTTCCTCCCTAAGGTCTTTTGCCACCTTTCCCTGTTGAGATCCATTCCCCCTTTCCCCCCTAAGGCCCTTTCTCCCTCTGAGTTTTTCCCTTTTCCTCCCTAAGATGTTTTCCCCCCTCTCCCTGTTGAGATCCTTTCCCCCCTTTCCCCCCTAAGGCCTTTCCCCCCCGAGATCTTCTCGCTTTTCCTCCCTTTCCCCCCCTTTCCCCCCTAAGGCCTTTCCCCCCCTGAGATCTTTTCCCTTTCCTCCCTGAGATCTTTCCCCCCCTTTTCCTGTTGAGATCCTTTCCCCCCTTTCCCCCCTAAGGCCTTTCCCCCCCCCAAGATCTTCTCCCTTTTCCTTCCTAAGATCTTTTCCGCCCTTTCCCTGTTGAGATCCTTTCGCAACCTTTCCCCCCTAAGGCCTTTCCCCCCTGAGATCTTCTCCCTTTTCCTCCCTTTCCCCCCTTTCCCCCCTAAGGCCTTTCCCCCCCTGAGATCTTTTCCCTTTCCTCCCTGAGATCTTTCCCCCCCTTTCCCTGTTGAGATCCTTTCCCCCCTTTCCCCCTAAGGCCTTTCCCGCTGAGATCTTCTCGCTATTCCTCCCTCAGATCCTTTGCCCCCTTTCCCTGTTGAGATCCTTTCCCCCCTTTCCCCTAAGGCCTTTTCAGATCTGCACCCTTTCCCTGTTGAGATCCTTTCCCCCTTTCCTTTCTAAGGCCTTTCCCCCCCTGAGATCATCTCCCTTTTCCTCCCTAAGATGTTTTCCCCCCTTTCCCTGTTGAGATCCTTTCTCCCACCCTGAGTTCTTCTCCCTTTTCCTCCCTAAGATCTTTTGCCACCTTTCCCTGTTGAGATCTTTGCGCCCTTTCCCCCCTAAGGCCTTTTTTTCCCCCGCGATCTTCCCCCTTTTCCTTCCTAAGATCTTGTCCCCCCTTTCCTTGTTGAGATCTTTTCCACCCCTTTCCCCCCTAAGGCCTTTCCCCCCCCCCCCAAGATCTTCTCCCTTTTCCTTCCTAAGATCTTTTCCCCCCTTTCCCTGTTGAGATCCTTTCCCAACCTTTCCCCCCTAAGGCCTTTCCCCCTGAGATCTTCTCCCTTTTCCTTTCCCCCCTTTCCCCCCTAAGGCCTTTTTTTCCCCCCGCGATCTTCCCCCTTTTCCTTCCTAAGATCTTTTCCCCCCTTTCCTTGTTGAGATCTTTTCCCTCCCTTTCCCCCCTAAGGCCTTCCCCCCCCAAAATCTTCTCCCTTTTCCTTCCTAAGATCTTTTCCCCCCTTTCCCTGTTGAGATCCTTTCCCAACCTTTCCCGCCTAAGGCCTTTCCCCCCTGAGATCTTCTCCCTTTTCCTCCCTTTCCCCCCCTTTCCCCGCTAAGGCCTTTCCCCCCTGAGATCTTTTCCCTTTCCTCCCTGAGATCTTTCCCCCCCTTTCCCTGTTGAGATCCTTTCCCCCCTTTCCCGCTAAGGCCTTTCCCCCCGCTGAGATCTTCTCCCTTTTCCTCCCTAAGATGTTTTCCCCCCTTTCCCTGTTGACATCCTTTCCCCCCCTTTCCTTGCTAAGGCCTTTTCCCACCCTGAGTTCTTCTCCCTTTTCCTCCCTAAGATCTTTTGCCACCTTTCCCTGTTGAGATCCTTTCCCCCCTTTCCTTGCTAAGGCCTTTTCCCACCCTGAGTTCTTCTCCCTTTTCCTCCCTAAGATTTTTTCCCCCTTTCCCTGTTGAGATCCTTCCCACCCTTTCCCCCCTAAGGCCTTTCCCCCCTAAGGCCTTTCCCCCCTGAGATCTTCTATTTTTTCCTCCCTACGATCTTTTGCCACCTTTCCCTGTTGAGATCCTTTGGGCCCTTTCCCCCCTAAGGCCTTTTTTTCTCCGCGATCTTCCCCCTTTTCCTTCCTAAGGTCTTTTCCCCCCTTTCCTTGTTGAGATCCTTTCCCCCCCTTTCCCCCCTAAGGCCTTTTCCCCCCAAGATCTTCTCCCTTTTCCTCCCTAAGATGTTTTCCCCCCTTTCCCTGTTGAGATCCTTTCCCCCCTTTCCCCCCTAAGGCCTTTTTTCCCCTGAGATCTTAAGGCCTTTTCTTCGGAGATCTTCTTGCTTGTCCTCCCTAAGATCTTCTCCCACCTTTCCGTGTTGAGATCCTTTCCCCCCTTCCCCCCTAAGGCCTTTCCCCCCCTGAGACCTTCTCCCTTGACCTCCCTAAGATCCTTCCCCTCTTTTCCGGTTGAGATCCTTTCCCTCTAAGGCCTTTTCCCCACAGATCTTGTCCCTTTCCTCCCTAAGATCTTTCCCCCCCTTTCCTCCCTAAGATGTTTTCCCCCCTTTCGCTGTTGAGATCCTTTCCCCCCTTTCCTTGCTAAGGCCTTTTCCCACCCTGAGTTCTTCTCCCTTTTCCTCCCTAAGATCTTTTCCCCCTTTCCCTGTTGAGATCCTTCCAAGGCCTTTCCCTCCTGAGATCTTCTTTTTTTTACTCCCTAAGATCTTTTGCCACCTTTCCCTGTTGACATCCTTTGCGCCCTTTCCCCCCTAAGGCCTTTTTTCCCCCGCGATCTTCCCCCTTTTCCTTCCTAAGGTCTTTTCCCCCCTTTCCTTGTTGAGATCCTTTCCCCCCCTTCCCCCCTAAGGCCTTTTCCCCCCAAGATCTTCTCCCTTTTCCTCCCTAAGATGTTTTCCCCCCTTTCCCTGTTGAGATCCTTTCCCCCCTTTCCCCCCTAAGGCCTTTTTTCCCCTGAGATCTTAAGGCTTTTCCCCCCCGGAGATCTTCTCGCTTTTCCTCCCTAAGATCTTCTCCCAACTTTCCCTGTTGAGATCCTTTTCCCCCTTTCCGCTAAGGCCTTTCCCCCCTGAGATCTTCTCCCTTGACCTCCCAAGACCCTTGCCCTCTTTTCCGGTTGAGATCCTTTCCCTCTAAGGCCTTTTCCCCCCAGATCTTCTCCCTTTCCTCTCTAAGATCTTTCCCCCCCTTTCCTCCCTACGATCTTTCCCACCCTTTCCCTGTTGAGACCCTTTCCCACCTTTTACTAAGGCCTTTCCCCCCCTGAGATCTTTCTCCCTTTTCCTCCCTAAGATCATTCCCCTCTTTTCCGGTTGAGATCCTTTCCCCCCTTTCCCTTCTAAGTCCTTTTCTCCCAGATCTTCTCCCTTTCCTCCCTAAGATCTTCTTCCCCCCCCCCTTTCCTGCCTAAGATCTTTCCCACCCTTTTATTGTTAAAATCCTTTCCCTCCTTTCCCTCCTAGGGCCTTTCTTTTCTGAGAGCTTCTCCCTTTTCCTTCCTAAGATCTTTTCCCACCTCTCCCTGTTGGCCTTTTTTCACCAGATCTTCTCCCTTCCTCCCTAAGATGTTTTCCACCCCTTTCCCTGTTGAGATCATTTCTCCCCTTTCCCCCCTAAGGCCTTTTTTTCCCCAGATCTTCTGCCTTTCCTCCCTAAGATCTTTCCCCCCCAGTTCCCTGTTGAGATCATTTATTTCCCCCCTTTTCCTTCTAAGGCCTTTCCCCCCCTGAGATCTTCTCCCTTTTTCTTCGCAAAGATCTTTCCCCCCCGGTTGACATCCTTTCCCCTCTTTCCCCCCTGAGGCCTTTGTCCCCCAAGATCTTTCCCTTACCCCCCCCCCCCCGATCTTCTCCCCAGTTCCCCCCCGAAAACATTTTTTCACGGACTGAGTTCTCTTCACTGCCCTTCACTTCCCTTTGGGAATTTTTGACTTCTTGTCCTTTCCCTGCTTTTCCCGTCATATCCCGACATTTCCCCAGCCTGGGCAACATCACTTGCATCATTTGCAGCAAGGTTTGCAAATAATCCGGATGATGCAAGTATTGCTGGCGATGTGCCGCTGGGGCTGCCAAGGGTGCGAAAGCGGACCCGGCAGGACTCGAACACCCCAATGTTTTTGCAAAACTGTGTCGCGCAAATGAAAAGATTTAGTGAAGCGTCTTCGAGTCACCGCGTGGTACGGAGCCCCCCCCCCCCCCCCCGGGAATAGTCTGAAATGGTGCCCCTGAAAAAGGGTAAGGGGAGGGGTGAGAGGTAAGGAACATTTCTTATGTCCAACACGCCGTCTGTCGGCGGACATCAGGTGACTAATCCGTGCGTTGGCCACAATGCTCATAGGGGTTAATGTCGCTGCGTTCCAGACACGTTGCTTTGGACGCTCAGGCGATTGCCGTCCTTGGTGCAAAGGTTGCCAGGCGGTTTGCCAATTCTGGATCAGATGGCCTGGTGGGCCTCTGCTCGTGAATCACCAACGGCACAGAAGCCCCTTGGCGGCCCAGAAGAACCCAAGCATCCTTAGCAAATTCGTGGCGGCTCGTGACAGCCAACGTGCGTTGCCATTAAGTAGGCAACATCATTTTGCAGCGCGAAAACGCAGAACATCGACTTTGCACCATGCAGCACAATCTCGGACATGCATGACCGACCATGTCGCAACAGACATGTATGTGTTGGTCTGCATGCTGTGGCGCTAAAGTGTTTCATTAGCAATGCTTGCTTGTCAGATTAGGCGTAAGCATCAAGGTTGGTCTCATTGACATGTGCCAGAAGCAGAGCAAACAATTCTGATTCGAGAGGTTGCGATCTTTGCTTCAAGCTGGCGGAGTGGCCTTTTACGATGCTGAGTGCCATTTCGTCAAAGCACCCATGGTAGCCTTGGTGGCTGTAGGCGCTTGACTGCAAATGGTTTGAGACTGGTGCTGGGTTGAAACCGAAGGTTTGCCGCCAGAGAACTTGGCCACAGGAGGGATTCCTGTGCGGACTTCGGGAGATTCACTCGACTTGTTGCTTGGTGAGTTGGCCATACCCGTGCCACTGGAAAGTATTCGAGACCTGGCTTGAGATTTTGGGATGGGGGTCCAAATGGAACGCTTCACAGGATGTTTGACCCAGCAGCCACAGCAATGTTCTGATTCAGCTGCATAAGGCTCTGCTTTGAAGAGCCAGATGGGGATGACAGCAATGTTCTCCTACCTCAATAGGCGAGGCCTGGAGCCAGAAGAAATGTGGGGCGTAGCGTCTCGTCTTGCAGATGATTTTGCGCTTGTTGGACTTGCGACCTGCACCGATGCATGGCCCAGGTGTCAAAGCTGGGCCACTTTTCAGTTGGCTGCTTATTAGCATTGGCACTGCGTCGGAGATTTTTTTGGTTCTTGGCAGTTGGGAGAACAACCCAGCTTGACGCATTCGGGCAACAAGGCCACACTGCTCATTTGTCCTTCGTACTGGCGGGGCACAGCTGCGCGGTGGAAAACGTAGCTTGGGCTGTCAGCTTATTCTATTCCGTCACGACCGCCAAGCTTAGCCATGGCTTGCATGGCATGAACGACCACACTAACTCTTTGTTCCGTCGATTGCTCTGCAACAGCATCTGTGTTTCTTGCATGCAATGCCATCGTTCAACTTTTCCTCATGCGTGGTTGAGGAAATCAACAGCCAACGAGATGTTGTGCACCTCGGCCGTCTGACCGTTGCCAGAACACGGTCTCAGCTTCTTGGCTGGACCACAAATTGGGCGTCGCATTCGCAATCCGAGCGGCAGCCTGTCCTCACGCTTTGAGGAAAGATCCGCCGCTTGTTGTTCAGCGGCCCGAGCTTCTCCCTGTGTGCCTTGACGAGCGCATGGCCTTACGTTGGGGGCAGATTGTAGAAATTTGACTCAGGTTCAAACAGGTTCGAGAGCAAGTGCAGGCATGGACAAAAAAACGTTGAGGGCCCATTGCCTGCGCTCGCCGCAGGCTGCAATTCTATCGCAGGTAGCCGAAAGACCCGATGCCGTCTCAGTGCAAGACTGGCAAGAGGCATTGATTCTTGGCGGCGATTTCCTTCGATCTTGGCGCAGAGCAGACAGCATGATTGGAGGTACATCGGATGGCCAGCTGCAAAAGCCCACGTGGCTGTACTGACTGGCAGCTTAAGAAGCTTGCAGAAACTGTGCGCTAGTATCGATGATGATGGGACGCTTGGTGAAATTGGGATGAAACTTGCAACCATTTGAATTGCTGACAGAACTCAGTGCCGCATCAGCTTCTTGAGCGCATGCTTGTAGAGGTGCAAATCCTTTCCAAGGAAAGAGACGGAATATCGAGCGCTTCTTTGGCAAATCGCGACAGCGTGCTGCACTGAGGGTACCAAGCAAACGCCGCGTTGTGGTGCCACTGTTTTGCGAGACCCATGTCAATGTTGATGGAGGTGCCATTTGCTTCTTCCTGATATGTTTCCAGATCCTGCCAAGTGCTATGGCTGCAAGTCCATTGGTCTGCCAAGTTGAGTTTCGGGTGCTTTGTGAGGACGTACAAGTGGCGGCCACCCTCGCATTTGCTACCCTGAAGCCGCTCAGTCAGACTCGCTTACTTCTCCACTAGACAAAACAGTGGATGCTCATATGTGCAAGCGCAGGTTCCTGTCAATGCCAGTTGCGCTATGAATGCTGTTGTCACATCCGGAACTCAATCTACGTTTACGTTCACGACGGCTGCCTTTGGTTGGATGTGTGCATAGTGTTTGGAAGGAATATTCCATGCAGCGGTCCAGCACATACAAGCCAAACAGGAGGTAAGATGGTTTTGACACAGAGATGCCCGTTCTTTTGTTTTTAAACAATCGCCGCCGCATTTTGTGGAGCAGTACTAATGGCGTCACACACTTGCAAGTCTTCAATGTAGTGCGGTTTGCTGTTGGTCTTTGCTTTGCATCATTCCAGATTCGCATGGCTTTTGCAAGCAGCTGAAAGGGGAGGCAAACAGCGTGCGGAGACGCACACACATAGTTTGGCTGTAGGCATGGCAACACATTGAGTCATGTTAACTGTGAGTATCAACAGAGATAAGTCAGATAAGGTATGTTCTACTCACAGCCCGATGTCTGTTAGCTGTTTGTCGCGAGCTTTGTGGATCAAAGAAGTGAGAGGAAACCTCTCCAGCACGCCCATGCCGTTGTGCCCTTGCCTGCCCTGGCCTTGGCATGCCAGATGCCAGTCCTTGACAGAGCATGGAACAATGACAGAGCAGCCAACGAGATGGCAGACATGAGTCGTGATGCCATCAGCAGCTGCAGGTTCGGGTCTCCCGACTCCAATGAACACCGGCTCGCTGGGAACTGGAGCTCAGGACATCTCCATTCTTTTCGGGAAGTCGTCGGCATCGGCATTTCGCGGACACACGTTTCAAAAAGCTGGCACGCGGGGTTAGGGCGGGTTCTGTGTGCTTATTGTGTTAGGTGCATGGATCGATTTACTGCTTTTGCGGGGGATTCCATGACGCTTCCATGAGACATGTTTGGTCTGCCGTCTCCAGATCCGCCGCGCTGCCTCCGCAGAGCAGAGCCGGCATTCGCTGATGGCTCAGTGAGTTAGCGCGTGGGAGGCCTTCTAGGTGATTTTTGCGGTATTTTTTCCTCATTGCTGTTTGAATGCCAATGCTCCTTGCACGGGGCAATGCCGCAATCTCATTCATGCGCATTAGCAATGTTTGGTTGCAGTGATCACAATAATTTTTGTCTTTGTTGTTGAGAAGTCAGTACAACTTATGCTTGCACTGTGTTTGTTTTGGGTTGGTGGGTCTGACGTGCACACACACACACGACTGAGTGACGCGCTGAGGCTGGATCTTCAATCAGACTCTTCCGGACACGAAGTACATCGTCGCGTGAAAGGAGCCCACACTTTACTTTGAACAGACAGCCTTTGCGCAGCAGCCCGTGAAGGAGGCAGCCACAGGTTTCCTGGAGTGGAAGGACATCGTGCAGAGGGTCGCGATGGTGCCTGGCGCTTTATCCAACGACACTTGAGCCTGTGCGAAGATGTTGGTAGTTCCGAGCGGAGCAATCGCACTAGATGTTTCTGATGGTAAATGGCACACAGACACACACACACGGTAAGTGACCCATTACGGCCCATTACTGTTCGTGCATTCCCTCCTGCCTGATTCACGATTTTCTGACAATTTGAGGGTCAGCAAATCTCCCCTGTCCTGAGTTCCGCCTCCTTTTTGCCCCTTTTGCTCCAGTTGTCCTAAGCTCATTTCTGCAGGTGCCCACAAGCGCAACCACCGACCGGTGCCCACTTCGCGTCGTCGTGCCTCGCCCCACGGCCGCCTGGCCTCTGGCCACCTGGAAGGTGCGCACAGCGCCTGGACCTCGGTCCCCGGAAATGCGGCAGTTCACGCGCGCACGAGCCGTTTTGCTTGCAACGCAAGCTGAAGCCTTTTGCCGAAGCCTCGCATCCCATGGCCTAGGCGGTGACGCGGCAGCGCATCGACCGGAAGATCTCGGGTGCTCTGAGGCTGTGTGCACCAGCCTAGCTTTGTTGCGGCGTTGAATTGAGATGCAATATTGTCCTAGAAAGAACCTGCGCGCGAAGTCAAGCACAGTCCTTCATGTCACTCGCACAGGACGCAGCGCAGCGATCATTCGCCAGAGGCTCGTACTGCCAAAGCTGACCAGGATTCTTGGCTGTGTGGGTGATAGGGCTCACTCGACTTTGTGTCGCAGCTTGTCGTCTTGCCCTGTTCCTCTCGTGGCAGCCAGGCATTTCTGTCGCCGCTGCACGAAAGCGGACGGGCAAGCTCTGTTGGGGTCCCGGCACAAAGCGAATTCCTTTGACTTGCACTTGGAGGTCTGCTTTTCAAATCATGTCATTAACACACCCTTGCTTGACAGATCAGATCAGTCAAGATTGCAGAAGAAAGTGACACTTGGTTTTGACTCAGGTCGACAAATGCTCCCCAGACACGAGTGGACTGAGGAAACAAGCAGAGGTGCCATGGGCGAAAATGTTTTATTCTGCATCCATTAAGTTTAGATTCATCGCAGTCTAGTGGCCGAGTGGCATGCCATGGTTGGCCCAGCTCGCGTGGAGTGAAGTCAGGAAGCTGCGACCAAGTTCTTTCTGCAGCGAGAGATCGAGGCTAGGCCTTAAGGGTTAAGGCCATTCCGATAAAAAAGGCTGCCGATGGGAGTCCTGGTGGTGGGGTTGAGGGAAGGTGCCCTAAACGAGAAGCATCCCCAATGCGCAGGACACCAAACCGATGTCTACCACAAGTATTTATCCTTGATAATTGACACGGGGCTTCCTCGACAAGGGGCCTGAGCTGGAGAAAAGTCCAGATCAATGGAGGCACGCAGCCTTCGGATGCACAGCTGGCAGCGGGCAGAAGCCTCCGCAGCGACCTTGGCTGTCCATTCTCAACGTGCGTGTTTATAAGTCAAACAACTCAGCTGCATTTGGCCTTGTTGAATCTGGATATGTTTGATTGCTTGTTTTTCTACTTTCCACCCACGCAGATCCGTGAATTCCAAAAGGTCTTCGCCGCCGACAAGGAGCCAACAAGACCTTGGCGCAAACTCATCGTGGTGGCACTGACCAGTGCTTGTCATCTTGTGGGACAAAGAGGTGTGCTCTTCTCCCGATTGCGAAACAGCCAGGTTTGCGCCAAGCTTCCGTTCACGATTGTTTGGGACGAGGAGCCTTGCTATCGACGAATGGCCAGTGACCATTCGCATAGAGCACACCGAGCGCATGTGCTAGCTCATGGCTAGGAGAAGGGCACTCTGCGTGTAGAGCGCGACCAGTTCGAGGCCCTGTCGTCTTCGACTTAATCTTCAAGGGACATATCATATCTTTTAAGGTACTATGGGCATACTGCTCTACCGTGCACCACCATATGTGGAGGTGGCAAGTTAGTATAAGGTCGGGCTGATACGCTTGGCATGTGGGGGATGTTGGTGCAACCAATTTTGTCGGCTCAAAGGATCTTTGTCATATTCTTCCTCCCTCTACCCGGACATATGAAGACAGCTGGGCCGAAACGTAGCTCACATTCTGAGCCATTTGTCATTTGGATCATTGGCGACGCGCAGGCCAATTTCGCCGAGATCCTGGCTGCCGAGATCACCGACGGCAAGGCGCATGGCCATACTTCTTTTGGTGTGGCAGTTTCCAAGTTCGGGGACTTTGTATGGGGAACCCGGAGTGCCTTTGAGCCTTTTGGTTGTGCCTCAGGTGCAATCTTCCGTTCGAGTCAGGTCTGATCAGGCTGGGGACAGTGAGAAGTCTTGAACACGCGCATATTGCCAGAGATCGGACACAGCCTGGTCGGTTGCGAAAGGGAGTGAAGACGTGTTCCCTTACTTATCCATTCTTGGCTGCATGCCTTCCAGATTTCAGGTCATCCTGGTCGGCGCACCTGTGGTAAGACGCGTAACTGATCGTGCTGCCCCAAGACAGTCGCGCAAAGCTGGGAGGAGCAAAGGCCAAGCTTGGTCTGCCGGCAGAGCATTCGATTTCTCGCTATTTTATTTGCTTGTCGTTTTGTCACTTGGCATGGCACTACCTCTCTCATGGATACAAATGGATAAACCAAACTTTAGAGCCTCCGGCTCAGTCCGCCGACATTGTCCTCTCCCTTTTCTCCTTCTTCCTCTCTCCCTTGTCTCCCTGGTGTGTTCTGTCGTCCTCTCTCCCTCCCTCTGCTCCCCAACCTCCCCATCCCCCCAAGCCTCTCTCTCCCCAATCTCCCTCTCTCGTATGTATGTACGTATGTGTGTATGCATGTATATATGTATGTAATGTATGTACGTATGTATGTATGCATGTATGCATGTATGCATGCACGCATGTATGTATGGAATGCATGTATGTATGTAATGCATGTATGCATGTATGTAATGTAATGTAATGTATGTATGTAATGTATGCATGTATGTATGTATGCATGTATGTATGTATGTATGTATGTATGTATGTATGTAATGTATGTATGTATGTATGTATGTATGTATGTATGTATGTATGTATGTATGTATGTATGTATGTATGTATGTATGTATGTATGTATGTATGTATGTATGTATGTATGTATGTATGTATGTATGTATGTATGTATGTATGTATGTATGTATGTATGTATGTATGTAATGTATGTATGTATGTATGTATGTATGTATGTATGTATGTATGTATGTATGTATGTATGTATGTATGTATGTATGTATGTATGTATGTAATGTAATGTAATGTAATGTAATGTAATGTAATGTAATGTATGTAATGTAATGTAATGTAATGTAATGTAATGTAATGTAATGTAATGTAATGTAATGTAATGTAATGTAATGTAATGTAATGTATGTAATGTAATGTATGTAATGTAATGTAATGTAATGTAATGTATGTATGTAATGTAATGTAATGTAATGTAATGTAATGTAATGTAATGTAATGTAATGTAATGTAATGTAATGTATGTATGTATGCATGTGCATGTATGTATGTATGTATGTATGTATGTATGTATGTATGTATGTATGTATGTATGTATGTATGTATGTATGTATGTATGTATGTATGTATGTATGTATGTATGTATGTATGTATGTATGTATGTATGTATGTATGTATGTATGTATGTATGTATGTATGTATGTATGTATGTATGTATGTATGTATGTATGTATGTATGTATGTATGTATGTATGTATGTATGTATGTATGTATGTATGTATGTATGTATGTATGTATGTATGTATGTAATGTATGTATGTATGTATGTATGTATGTATGTATGTATGTATGTATGTATGTATGTATGTATGTATGTATGTATGTATGTATGTATGTAATGTATGTATGTATGTATGTATGTATGTATGTATGTATGTATGTATGTATGTATGTATGTATGTATGTATGTATGTATGTATGTATGTATGTAATGTAATGTATGTAATGTAATGTAATGTAATGTAATGTAATGTAATGTAATGTAATGTAATGTAATGTAATGTAATGTAATGTAATGTAATGTAATGTAATGTATGTATGTATGTATGTATGTATGTATGTAATGTATGTATGTATGTATGTATGTATGTATGTATGTATGTATGTATGTATGTATGTATGTATGTATGTATGTATGTATGTATGTAATGTATGTATGTATGTATGTATGTATGTATGTATGTATGTATGTATGTATGTATGTATGTATGTATGTATGTATGTATGTATGTATGTATGTATGTATGTATGTATGTAATGTATGTATGTATGTATGTATGTATGTATGTATGTATGTATGTATGTATGTATGTATGTATGTATGTATGTATGTATGTATGTATGTATGTATGTATGTATGTATGTATGTATGTATGTATGTATGTATGTATGTATGTATGTATGTATGTATGTATGTATGTATGTATGTATGTATGTATGTATGTATGTATGTATGTATGTATGTATGTATGTATGTATGTATGTATGTATGTATGTATGTATGTATGTATGTATGTATGTATGTATGTATGTATGTATGTATGTATGTATGTATGTATGTATGTATGTATGTATGTATGTATGTATGTATGTATGTATGTATGTATGTATGTATGTATGTATGTATGTATGTATGTATGTATGTATGTATGTATGTATGTATGTATGTATGTATGTATGTATGTATGTATGTATGTATGTATGTATGTATGTATGTATGTATGTATGTATGTATGTATGTATGTATGTATGTATGTATGTATGTATGTATGTATGTATGTATGTATGTATGTATGTATGTATGTATGTATGTATGTATGTATGTATGTATGTATGTATGTATGTATGTATGTATGTATGTATGTATGTATGTATGTATGTATGTATGTATGTATGTATGTATGTATGTATGTATGTATGTATGTATGTATGTATGTATGTATGTATGTATGTATGTATGTATGTATGTATGTATGTATGTATGTATGTATGTATGTATGTATGTATGTATGTATGTATGTATGTATGTATGTATGTATGTATGTATGTAATGTATGTATGTATGTATGTATGTATGTATGTATGTATGTATGTATGTACTGTTGTGTAATGTAATGTAATGTAACGTAATGTAATGTATGTCTGTATGTCTGTATGTCTGTCTGTATGTATGTATCCTTGCACTTCCCCTTTGCTCCCCAGTATTTCCCGCAAACAACACGGTTTTTCCAGCGTTTTCGCAAAGAGGATGTCCAAAAACACAGAGTTTTGCCAGATTTTCGGCAAAAGGATGCAGGAAGCCCAAGCCAGCAAAAAAGCCGGCAGGGGGAATCGAGCCTGGGACCCCTGTTTTGCGACACCGGGTCCCCGAAGACTACGTTTAGTGGAACGTCATCAAATTGCCGCGCGGTCCTTGGGGGGGGGGGGAGGGGCCCCCCCCCCCCACGTATCAGACGTCGGGAGGGGGGGGGGTTATCCTCTATCCTCTCTTAGGTGTCCGACACGCCGAGCAATGTCGGCGGATTCCAGATGCAGTCTTGTCAGCGGTTTGAGGCTCGCTGGTGACGGCCTGCGACGAGGCACTCCAGCAAGAGCTCACCAACTTCCTCCGGAAGGAGTTGAAGGCCCGGCGCTGTCAACGGATTTTTTTTGAGTCCATGGATTCCATGACTTGGTTGAGTGACTGAGTGGCTTGGGTTTGGGTTTGGAGTTGAGATGGACGTGAGATTCCGAGTTTCTATGCGCCAGCGTAGCCTGCGTAGCCTTCAAGGTGGCGACAGTGCCCGTCTTTCCTCCATCCGGCAGAGACCGTTTCGCTGACCAGGCCTTGGCCTCAAAACTTTAGCAGAGTCTGCCACGTTTGCAGAGTGCCTTTAGCTCAAGGCGGTATTGTAATGCCATGGTTTGTTTAGAACTTCTTGATCGTTGCACGCCTTAGGTGATTTTCCCTCTTTTTCACTACACCCCCCCATCCATGGAGACTGGAATAGGCGGGAGCCTCAATGCACTGCTCACAATGACTCTGATAGTTGTTCTGAGTGTGCTTCGTTCATGTCTCTGCTGGCATTCGTTCCCCAAACAACATGTGGGTTTCACGCGTCTCAGGATCGCTGGTGTTGAACCACCCCAGCATTTGTTAAATACGGCACCGTTTTCCTGTGTTTGCAGTGAGGTCTCTATGACTGGGATGGCTACAAGCTTGTGAACGAGAGCTTTTGTGACGCTGTCAGGGCCCCTGACTGAACTTGCTAGACGCAAGTCCAGCGCAATGCCATCTCTGTTCGGCTCGTTTGCAGCCATGCGCATTCTTGCTCGTTGATGCTCACAAGCTGCGATGTGTTGAGCGCACAGTTAGGCTGGAAGGATTTGTCAGCTTGAGCATTGCTATGTGGTTGGCCGTTTGATCTGGGGACAGATGCCATGAAAACAGTATGCAGGGACCGTATGCAACTTGGCTCTTCAAGCTCAGAGCTCATGTGATGCCAAGGTGCTTCAGCAACATCAGCGTGGGGACCTTGCCACTGCCTCAGTTTTTCATTTGGCAAGATGCAGGGTTCAGAAAGTCAAGTCACTGCTTGCTGGGATTGAAGACACCGGACTGAACACAAACTTGTCGGCTGTCAAAATTGCATTGGTGTGAGGTCCTCATCAATGACTACCCGCTGATGCTGCTGCCAAAGGCTCTTCGTAAGGAGCACCCGGAGATGCAGCAAGTAGCATGAAAGTATTTGCCATCGCAACTTAACACTCAACCAGGAGCGGCCGGACATTTCAATCGGTTTCTACATCCATTGTACCTTTGTAGCATTCAGTGTGCGCGTCATTTTCTTGATCTGTGGCTGCAAGCCTTTTTGCATAAAGCAGTTTGCATACTGTATGCAGCAAGCATTGTGTTTGCTTGCTCAGTCTTTGATTTCCGTGGATGCCCTTTTGATGAGCCGCGCCGAGTCATGAGACACCCACAAGTTGGCTGCCTTGTCTTGTCCATGCCAAGGCGTATTTCCGAGTAGCGAGGCCGGGGTCCCATCTGAGTGGAGCAGCTCTCGATTTCGGTAAAGTCGATGCTGGCGAGTTAGCAACAGGCAGCAATTCAAGCGAGATAACGAAAGGACAATCCTTACAAAAACTTGTCTGTCACAAGTACATGTGTGGATGGTGCGTTTGCCAGGTTTACCGGATTCTTCCTCAGCGCGAGGAATTGCTTCGAGGAGTGTTGAGCCAAAGTCTCAAGTATGTTGCAAGCGACTTTATTTGCTTCAACACCTCTTGGGCCAAATCCAACGCGATCCACTCTTTCTCCTACGGTGTGCTCTGCACCCACACGAGTGTGGATCTGCTCGCCTGCGCCAAGGTTCCAATGTGATTGGCTTCCACAACTTTCAATATGCCTGTGCCCCAGGCAGCTGAGGCATTGGCATGGGTACTCAGCAAGCCTGAGGTTCGGCATTTCCTGACGGCCGCAACACGTATTCTCGGCACCATGCTCGGAGCATTGGTGTCGCGGGCTTCCCTGCTCTGGGCACAGAGTTGCCGCCCAGAAGTTGTCTTGATCGTTTCCAGCTGTGGGTTCGGTTGCTCACTTTGAGTCCAATCCTTGCTTTGATGACCCACAAATATCCTTGCAGCTGTATTTCAGGCTTGGCACTATGGGTCTGGCCGGACAGCTCGCATTCCGCAAAACGGCCCTCAAAAGCTAGACTTTTTGCACACAGAGAACTGGGTTCTCCAAAAGGCGCCGGACCAAACTTTCCCCGCGAGATGGACGCTCGCCCAGGCTGCGAGTGCAGTTCTTCTGGCATCGATGCCTGTGAGGTGGGGGCTTGGGGAGGGTGATCCATGGCTTTCTTGCCACGGTTCCCTGCCAGAAAAATACCCTCAAACATGTTTGGTGGACGTAAATCCCCATGCAACGCAAGTTGACCGAGGGGTCCAACCAAGATTCATACCCAAGTCAGACAGTAATCGCGGCAGCTGAACACCTTGCCCACAGGACGCTGGCGGCACCAGCACCAAGGCCCAGAGCAACTGTGAGATGCGAGTCTCGATTGGAGAGCGTTCAATGCCTCCACACTCAAGAGACTCTCAAGAGACTCTCAAGAGGGTATGGCTCAAAGTTAAACAGGAGGGGCAAACCGCAGGTTTTGGTTTCCATGGTTCCATGTTTCCACTTACCAGGGTAACCCATTTTGGAATTCCGGTTTTTTGAGCCAAAGAGAGACGGTCAGCGGGAGGTCATTGCCGTGCCTTTGGGCATCCACTTGGAGCCCTACTCCCAGGTCTGGGACCAGGAGGCTCGGAACGCTTCCGGGAGTTGTCAGAGTTGTCAGAAGTGTCTTTTTTAACATTTACTTTTTCTCTTTTTCTTTCTCCTTTTTTCCCCTGGTGTGGAGCCTCTTCCGAAGGGACTGACGGCAAGGGTTGTGACATGTGCAGGATAGCATGGCAGAGTAGGGCTGCTCGTTATGAGCGCTCACGCCAAACGCAGGATACCAAAAAGGCGGTCGAAGATCTGAAGAGGATCTGGGGATGGTGTTGTGCTCTTGCTGTGACATGTGTTGCTTTTTATTGCTCTGTGAAGGGTGGTCAATGTGGTAGGACCTACGACTCCAAGACAATTCTCATGGCAGTGGACCGCCTGGAGGTGCCTTTCGGGTCTCCATGTTGACCCATCCGAGATTTTGCATGACAAAGATAGGAGAAGGAGGGCATCCCTCACAAGATCATGGCCTTCCACAAGTTCCTGTCGCGATTCCCGCCGCGCCAAAGCTCGTCTCGCCGGAGTCGTCTCGACGCCTCGAAGCCTCAAGGTCCTGGGCCTCAAACGTCGTCTTCGTCCAGTTGGTGGTTGCTGTGCGGTGGCCTAGCGGAGGTTCTGGTGAAGGATTCGATTGGGGTTCACAGACGGCTTGGGTGTCCCTGCAATGGTAGTAATGTGTACTCAAACAGGGAAGGTGGAAAGAAGCTACGGCAAATGCAAGCATGCCACACTGCAGAGGGCATTAGCGAACATAGCTCAAAAGCTAATATGTCATCAGTCGTCATCATTGCCACACATGTTTGTTTTCCATTTTGAGCCATCGACCCATCGAGTTTACTTTGGTTGCAGGCAGCTTGATTGGAAGTTGCTCGTCGCTGCAGGCCATTGTCAAGCTGAGGCCAAAACGGACGACGAGGAGGCTCCAGAGACAAGGGAGGAGAGGCAGAAGTTGCTGCAACAGGCGTGGCAGTTTGGGAACACATGGGCCATATGTGGGTTTGTTTCCTTTGGTGTCGTTCCGAGCGATGCGTGGGGATAGCGCATGACCGGATTCCTTGCGAGCAAGACTGGGTGTTGTGATTGGCCCACGACGTTTGTCATCAAGCGTGAGCAAGTTCTGACACTTGACGCGCCTGGTCTTTGATTGCTCAAGCTTGCACGCTGACATTACAGCTCCTTAGCATGTAATTTGGAAAGCCTGGAAGATTGAAGCCGGAAGCTCCCCCAAACTCCGAGCCGCAGCTGCGAATCTCGTTGCCGGTTGCGGCGCTTGCGCTCATGGCTCATGGAGCCCCGGTGGCGGCGCTTCGTGGCGGGCGGCCTAGGAGAGATGCCAGGGGCTTGGATCGTCGGAGCGAGAGCCAGGTCTTGGCTGAAAATAAACGTGCGCTCAATGCTGAGGTTCAAGTTTTGTGGAAAAAAGGGCAATCAATGCATGAACGCAGGCAGTCTTTCTAGTTTTCTTAAGTGCAATTGGTATGGTGCGGTGGTGTGAAGCTGGACTAGACTATGCAGAGACGTCTGAGGTTTGCCACTTCTTTCTCTCACCCAGCTGACGTCCTCAAGGCTTGAGCCGGATGTTCATTCATGCGAAGGATTTGTTTCTGGGACAATGCACAGTGCAGACTTGGTGCCCGAGCCCTGGGGTGCCTGTATTGTGGCCAAGCCATCCGCACAATCAGGTGCGATTGCAGCTCACTGGAGAGTGTGATCGTGCACTGCCAGCACTGCGTGCCAGCATCTTGCCTCGCAATGATTGCGCTTTCACCACTCCGTGCAAGAATCTTGCTTGCTTCCCTATGTCAGCTCACTGCCTGGCTTCTTTTCAGATTGTTGTGCTGGTGACAAGCGGGTGTGAATATCGGTGGGCACTTTTCAGTTTCTACTGAGGGGACATGCTGAGAGTAGCGCGTCATTTGGCAGTGCCTTGGACTGATTGGATGCAGACTGGCTATGTTGACTTAGCATTGTTCATGATACTTCAGCTTGTCTGTAATTCGTGGTTTGGATTGGTTGTTGAGGTGGTTTCCCATGTACCCTGTACAAGAACCAGGGGTTCCAATCCCCAAAGCACAAATCCACACCATCAACTCAGGGTTACATGAATACTTGCAGGGTGAATCAAGGGTGCGCCCCCGAAAGGGACAAAACGGCCGGTGTGTGCGAGCTCTCCAAGCCCAGGTTGAGGAAGGCTTGTCGGGCCTTTACGCAGGCATCTCAGCCGCTTGGTTGCGGCAGGCAACCTTCGGCACCATGCGCCATGGCCTCTACGGCCGCTTGACAGAAGATCCGAGCGCTCTGTCGAGAGAAGAACCTGGTCATGAGTACGCCAGCGTACGATGCGAGAGTCTTGTTTGTGACTGTCTGCACAGGTGGAGGTTCCCCTAGCTAAATCACATTGCTTCAAAGTCAGAGGATGAGTCGTCAATGTTTAGGATTTTGCCAGCCTGTAGGTGTGCTGGAAGGTACCGGCAGGACAGACAGCGGATGCTCGCTTGCACGTGGCAACCAGCATGTTTTGAACATCTCAGAGGTCAGCATGTTTTGAACATAGAGGTCAAAGCCGAACCGTTGCGGACTGCCAATCCAGGAGAAGTCTCACTGCTTTGGCGCGTGCAGAGCGGTCTGCTGGCGGGCAGTTTGGCGGCTTTGATGGCGAATCCCACTGATGTGGCCAGCTCCTGAGACAGGCTCTGGTGAACCTAGAATCTGGCAGCAATTTGTAGTTTTTCTTCTTGGAATGGGCTATAGCCTGCATTGCCATGAAATCTACAAGGCGCCAGTTTGCTGCCGCTTTATGGCTTTTTTGCAGCTTTTCGGCAACGTGGCGTCTGATCTTCAGTAACATTAAGGTCCTGATCCGGATGCAGGCTGATGGAGGTTGGCCTAAAGAGCAGCGGCGTACCCCGGCTGCAGTTGGATAGCTCAGAGCCCAGCATCTCCTACGTCGTGCTCACAAGAATGTCCGCCAAGTTTCCTGGGTCTCTGATTTGGAACCTCTCGGAGGTTCTGGCCATTCCGAAAGTGTGAGTTTGGATCAACAGGGACTTGAACTGTGACCGATGTCCTTCCGAATGATTTCCAGTTTTTTGGAGGATGGTTGGAGAACGGTTCAAGTGCTGCTGGGAGAAGCACCTAAAGAGCCTGAAATCTCCGAAGAGACCCGGCAAGCTCGGCGCACTCGGAAGTTTGCATCATCCAAACGGCGGGTTCAAGCCAGCACATAAAGGTGAGCAGGGCTATCACAGTGATTGCGCACACTACACATGTCCTGAAACACACGCCTAAGTTTCCAATGCTTCCATGACACTCTTTGCTTTCGGTGCTTCTGCTTCTCGTCCCAGATGCACACTCACACACAAACTTACACACTCACAATTTGTGTGTACTTGAGTTCAGGGTGTTTTTTACTTGGTGCACCTGCTCTTGCATATGTGCCCTGCGGGAGCCTTCGTGTTTTGTCCTTTGTTTTGCTTGTCTGTGGTTCCTCCCTCTGCGTCTCTGGCTTGTTTGTCGTTTTGCATTTCTTGAGGCGGCTATCGCCACGCCTTGCACGGGATGCAGTGCTTGGCGTCGGAGGGCCGCGGTGCCTGGTTCGTGGGCTGCGGGCCCACGGCAGCGCGGGCATCGCTGGTCACTGCTTCGCAGCTGGCCACCTACGGGGAGTGCAGTAAGGGGTTGGGGGATGGGGGGGGGGATGGGGTTGGTGGTTGAGGAAAATATATGTTTGTTTGCGTGAATCATGGAAAGTCTGAATGAGCCCCTTTCCGGCAGGAAATCAAGAGCCGAGCCCTGAGCGCTGGCTTTGCCGACGATACAAGGCTCAGCCGATTGGACTTGAGACCATGCGGTCAGGCACTTTGTTGATTTGTCGCCAAGCACCTGAAGTGCTAGTGGCCCATGGCAACCAAACTGTTGTTGCATCGCATTGGCAGGGGGTGCGCAAAGAAGCTCTGCGAGGGGTGAGAAGAACAGGAAAACACAACAGAGGTGGAGGGAGGGAGGGAGGGACGGAGGGAGGGAGGGAGCGAACAGAGAGAGAGAGAGAGAGAGAGGGGGCAAAGACAAAAAGGGCAGACATCAGACGTGATCCCGCAGGCTGCAGCTTGGATGTGCCATGGCTTCGGGTACAGTGGCTTGTTTGGCCACCCAGCCCGTGGATTGCGTGAAGACGCGCCAGGGCCCCGGCTTCGAGCCATGTCTTGGGGTACTCTCTTGCGATTGCCGCTTGCCAAGCCGCTTGTGTGGCTTGGAAGCCACACCTCCGTTGAGGCATCATCAACATGCAGCGAAGCTGCGGAGTGTTGTACACAGGCCGGAGATAGATGGTGCAAGGGAACGAACCTTTGTTGGCATGAACACGCCATGTGAGCGGCGCTTTGCCGGAACTGAGAACTGCCAAGGAGCGCTGGATGTGGTGTGGAAGACTTTGGCCACGGAGGGGCCCCTGGCTTTCTACAAAGGCGCGGGGCTACGAGAGAGGTTGGAGCCGGCCTCGGGACGTCACGTTGGGTGCGGTCAAGAGAAAGCGTCAGAACAAGTTCTACACGGAATTTGGCAGGTCAAGTCAAAGGTATATGCCATGTACTTGTTTGATTGCTTTGGTGCTCCTCTTGGACCTTGTGAAGTCAGCATTTGCACTTGTGATGCAGGGTGGTTTGCTGTAGTCAACCCCTGTGTGAGGCTTATCTGCCACTTTCATCCGTGCCTTGCTAGCAAACTGATGCACATTTCCGCACTTGCAATACAAATGCAGCATGCCCTGGTCGCACAGACTTGTGAGTTGACATACGCCAAGCTCCAAATTTGGGATATGTGCCACGGTCCATCGCATAGAAGTTGTGAAGGTGTTCCTTCGGGAACCCCTGGCATGCCACCAGATCACCAGGCTGCCCTTCCAAGGCCTTTGGCCGCACACCGTGCTCCTCTGGCTTGGCCAGGAAACGGTTACCGCGCAGCTTCGAGCCTGGAACACATGACGTGCGTTGGAAAAGGACGACAGGGTATGGGTTGGACAGGGCGCAAGGCTTTCAGTACACACTTGCAGCGGCAAGGAAGTAGGCTTTGCTTGACACCCAGTTATCCTGAACTACCTGCATCCCTGTACCCTCAAGTTCTACGTGTGTTTGGCTCCGGTTTGGGAATGCCGGAGGTCTATCAGATGGGGGGCGAGTGCAACTCTGCTTTCGGGTCCATCACGCATGCGCCGCCGTGTGCCTAATGAATTGAATCAAGCATCGAGATTTGCTGCAGAGTGGGGTTTTGGAGTTGGCAATCGCATGTGCTAGCTGACTCGGCTTAGGTTTCACTTCCTCCACCAAGACATCAGCAGAACTGACATAACTGCCCTCATGGTCAAAGATCTTGGCTCAGACTCCGGCTTGAGACGACAAATCAGCATTGCAGGGCTCCGCTGAAAAGCAGCTCAATTTGGCTTCCTGTGCCGAGGCGCATGTGTTTATGGACACGCCGCTGCGTGACACTCTCTCCCGGGAAGCCCATGAGTTTGTCTGGTGCCAGGAGGAGTGCCCTATTGAGCATTTTGTTTGTCATCGAGCTTTACAAAGTCCGAAGCTTTGTGACACGCATTGGTCGTGGGCGAGGGACTCAAGCTTTTGGAGGAGCAGGACTGCGGCGTGCTGATCCTCTCGGAGTTCTCCGGCTCTGCGCAGTCCCTGCGGGCAGCTGCGCTCTGTCGGGGACCCGCAGCCTTCAGCGCAGGGGCCATGTCAGCTGCTTGCCAGGCGTGAACCCTTGGGACACCACCGCCTTTGCTGATGCCATCCAGGAGGCGAGATTGACCTTACATGGCCCAGAAGCCCTGATCGTTCCGTCCATCAAAAACACACATCTGAGAAAGTCTTTGGTCTCTTTCTCAGAGGCAAACAGGATAGATGCAGTGGTGCTGGCCCAATTTCGTTGTGGCAGGCCATCGAGATGGAGTTTCAGGATCGACGGGAGCTCCACATCTACGGCCACAAGCATGTCTATGACCACACCCTCAGGCCAGAACTTTGGCCTAGCAGATTTTGCACAACTCTCGCACCATGCTTGTGCCCATAGACGGGACTTGCTTTACATGCAACATGGTTTGGAAGCTGCCAAGCATGAAGTGCACAGGCGATGGGCGACTAACTTCCTGGACGAGATCTGCTCGGCGCGCTCGGGGGAGCAGTCTAGTCGTATTGACGAGGGCAAGCAAGCTAGCAGTTGGGAACTGGCAGTCCAACGGTTGTCCAATGCAGTGAAATGTGACAGGCCGAAAGAGAGTGCGAAGACGAGCGCTTGCAGATTCCCCCACCGCTTGAGCCTCAAATATGCTGTAAATAAAATCGGCAATTTCTTGACTGGGAGCCAGGCATGAGTGACTTGAAGCAATCGAAGTGCGCAATCTTGAGACTTCTAATCTCTTGCCGCAGTACTCACTGTTGCCGCTTTTATTGTGGATAGACGGGAACTTTGTTCCAGGCTGGACCACGAGACGCCGGTGACAGCCATGCGGCAGGCATGCTGACCTGGAAATGGAGCCTACTTACCAATTTCCCCAACATGCTGTTGGGAATACTTAACGCTCAAATGTTTTTCTCTAAGGGGCGAGGGGAATGATGCAAGCGCCGCGGAAGCCTCCAAAGGAAAGCTCAAGGGAAGGCGGAGGCACACTTGCAGGCCCACAAGCGGATTTTCGTCTTCGGTTTCTCTGGCACACTGCTGCCGCGGAAGCAGGGACCCCAGAGCAGTGCCCAACGTAGCACGCAGATTGGCGGAGAGATCACGTGATTTGACCTTGTACCAGCGCCCTGTGTGGCCGAGCTCCATCCCGCACCCTCTTCTTTGGCTTTTTTTGCATTTTGACGTCTCCAGAGGTCGCGGCTCCAGGCCAAGATCCTGGGCAAGCTCCATCCTGTTTTGGCTGCAAACCTCAAGGCGCCAAGCTCAGGACGCCAATGCTGTCAGACTACTCTGCATCAGCGAGAGTTTGGCCGGCGGGCTAGGGCTTCCCTTTGAGTGACGTTGAACAAACAAATGGTTTAGGGATATTGCAACCGACGCCAAAAGGACCTTTGTTACTTGCCTTGCACGCAGCAAGTTGAAATGCACGCCTCGCATGTCCACCTTTTTGGCTTTAGCTTTATGGTGGGGGGAGCTGCATGAAGCTCATTGCAGCCAGAAGCTGCGTGCATTTGCTCACCTTTCGGGCTTCTCATTCAGTCCGTCATCTCGGAAGGTTGGCACGGCACCGTTTCGCAAAGCATGTTGACAACAGCGGGGGCTTGCTTTCAAGCAACAGAGGAAACAGCGCCCGTTTCCATGCAAAATCAGCCGCCATCCCCACGGTCCTTTGGCTTGACACGTGACTTGGTACTGGTGGTATCAGGATCAGCGGGGTTTTGAACGGAGTCGCGAGCCATGAAGAAGCGCAAGGCAGTTGATGCCTGGCCAGAGGGTCGCAGCTTCTGCTTCGTACGCCATGCGCAGGCGCGGACATTGAACTGGGCATGTGGAAGACATGGGGATTGTGTCTTTCCCAAGCGAGCTGAGCTGATCCAACTGAATCGAGGCGCTCCACAATGTGACCCGGCTGAACATAAGTCATCCAAGACTTGATGCAGGGACAACCTAGTGAGAGCAGTATGAGAACCATCATATTGTGAGACACTGAGAGAGAGAAAGAGCGACAGAGAGAGAGAGAGAGAGAGAGAGAGAGAGAGAGAGAGTGCCGCTTCAACCAATGGCAGCCTCAGGTGTGTGATGACAATTTGTGGACACCAGACAACCCGTGACCGTGCTGCAATTGGTTGCTGTTGGAATGTGAAACCCAAGAAGGTACCTCCACTCGCAACAAACGGATCTTCCAGACTGCGAATCATGTGGCACACTGACAAGCCACCGATAATCCAGGCTGACGGAAGCGGGGCAGCGCCAGTGTCAAGAGGCCTGGCATTGCTTGGGCTAGCTTTGGCAAGTCTTCGTGGCAGGGTGGGCCTTGCAAAAAGTATGTCATAGCCTTTTTGGCGATTTGCTGCTTGTAGGCAAGTGAAGAGTGGGGTCGACGCATCTTTGGCGAAGCTGAGCTCATCGTGGTGTCGCCCATGACACGGGCACTGCAGACGGCATACCTCATCGGAGGAAGCTGCGCGAGCCAAAAGTTGGGACTCGGGGGCATCGCGGGCATCGCGCAGGATTGAAGGCCGAGGACTCCCGCGTCCTGGTCACACCCATGCGCTATCCCCAGCATCGAATGCGCCGAATCCACTCGGGGAATGGTTCGATGCTGCTTTGTCCGCGCCGTTGCGTCTTTTTTTGGCCGTGCATGTACCAGTCTGCCCGTTTTTTGTTTTTTGTTTGCACTACTACCACTGGCAGCTGCCGAAGCTCATCCCTGGTCGAGGTGCGCAGAGCACCTCTCCGGCGCCACCTGTGATGAGGGCCGGCCGCTGGAGGAGCTGCGCCGGGACCTGCCCTGGGCGGTAGGCGCGCGAGAGAGCAAACACACGTGTGGCGTTGGGGCGGGCTGGGATGGGAACGACTTGGGATATTTTTTTTCAGGAACATCGTTCTGGGCATCGACCTGTGGAAATTCGCCTTGGGACTTTTGACGGCGAGTTTTGCAGACCAGAAGTCGAGTATTGAAATCCCGGAAGGCTGGAAGGGCGTGACCGACCTGGCGGAGGTGCCTTGGGCGGAAATTGCGCTGCATCGTCTAAAGCCTTTGTGTGCTCGAGTAGTCTGTACTCACCAGAATCGGCTTCTCTGACTTGCCCTTGGTGTGTAGGTCTTTTTGTTCGTTCCTCGATTGTTTGACTTGTGAATCTTGCAAAGCGGTAGCGGTGACAGAGGCGCAGATATTGATATGTCAACATTGTTTATTGCATGCCTGCCTTCTCATTCTCATCAAGACGTTTTGGGAAGAACAAATTTGTCAGAACATACCTTTGCTATGGTGTGGAACACCCATGGTCCCAGCTGCCAGGAGTGGTGGACGGAGAAACGACCAGAGGAGTCGCTCAGGGTCAGCGCCTTCCTGGATTTCTTGAAGGAGCTTTGGATGCCGGCCAATGGGACGTGAGACCACGAGTTTGTTGGTTTGCCCAGCTACCGAGAGGGTTGAGTGTGTGTATATGTGTATATAATGTGTCTCTACAGCTTCTACGATCCTGTTAACCAATCGCAGAGACAGACCTCCACACAATGTGTATATATGTAATACAGATGCATATGGAGTATATATATATATATATACACACTTACATACATGCACAAACATGGGCCAAACGGTTGAACAAGTAGCTCGATTTCAGCACATGATTGCAAGCTGATGGAATCCGGGAAGATTGAGCTAGTGTGCTTGCTCAACCCTTTGTGCTTTGTGGGGGCCGTGGTGTTATTTGGGTGAGATAGAAAGAGCCATGGTAGGGCAGGTCTTGATGCAGCCCTCATGAGACTTGCAGGTTGTTTAGCAGAACGGCATTGAAACATTCTGGACTTGTTTGGAGGACCGACCAGAGCGCACGATCGTCGTGGTTTCACATGGTGCATTCCTACAGTACATCGTGGGTGCCTGAGTGGGTCGGAACGAGAGAGTGGCATGTCTTCATTGCTTTCGCTCGTTGAAGTGTTCTGACGCCATAAAATGTAAATTTCGCAAGCATGCTGGTGGGTGTCACGGTTGCAGCAAACAGTTCAGGTCGGATACCACATGGAGAATGCTCAGCAGCACTTGATGAGCGCGGAAGACATTGGGACAGCAAAGAAATCCTGCCTGAGATCTTCCTTCAACATCGGCTTTGCAGTGATCGCAGAGTCTGGCCCTCACACGCACAAATTGCCAGAACCATGTTGGAAACGCATGTCGAATTGCTGTCAACAAGACCATGCAGCTTAGCATTTTCATTTTGCCCACGAATGATATGACCTTGCGGAGATTTCTGTCAAGCAGGTTGGCATTTGAGCAGTTGTTTTGTGATCAGCCTCTATTCAGAAAATCAACCAACTCTCAGAGCCTGCCGGTTTCTTCTTGTCGCCTGAGGTATGAAGATGCGCCATTGAAGCGACTTGCCAAGGTCCGAGTTGCATGTTGCAGTCGGGTTAGACTTGGCCTCCTTCGGAATCTTTGCACATGTCAAGACGCGAGCAAGTGTTTGGTTCTTGAAGACGTGAGTTTCATGTTTGTCGGCTTTGCGATGCGGCAAGTGGATTAGTACTTAGCTGACTGATGCTACCGTGCTTCGTCACTTTTAGATGTTTTGAGACTCAACAACATAAAATCACAAAAATCACCAAGCCAGCCACACCTCCAGATTCACCCCCAACATGCTCCACTCCAAAACCGCCTGCCTTGCAGTCGCCGCTGACGTGCCTGCGGGGCTTGGGCCGCAAGGGCGCGGCGGTGCTGGCGACCTTGGGCCCCAAAACCGTCACGGAGCGACGGGTCCGTGAGTGGCTTGTGGCCGAGCTGCCGCGGCTGAACGGCGCATGCTGAAATCCCCAAAGCTTTTGTAGGCTCGGCGACTTGTCATCACTTGTCGAACTTGTCTTGGGCCTCGTGTCTACCGAATGGGAGAAGGTGATACAGTGATACATGCTTCTGCGGTTTTCTATCGCTTTCTGCCCAGTTCACTCCAAACAATATCTCCTTCAAGCCGCAGATTGAAGATAGACAGGCACGGCTTCATTCATACATTTCTTGCAAATGCGTACTGGCTTGGCGCTGTATCGCGCAAGATGAGCAAGGCTTTAATCATTGTCCACCAACTCTGTGTTTCACGAACCATCAGGCCACATACAGATGACAAGCAAGCTCGTGATCCCGAAAACGTGCCCATTCGCCGAGCCGCAAGCCGCAAGCCGCGCCAAGCGGAAGGACTTGGCCCATTGGAAGTTCGCGCGCTGGGCGGAGTCCATCTGCATCCTGAGCCCCGCGGAGGCCGACGGCAACCGCGACGCCGCTCGGACATTCCTTCTGCCCTGCCAGGTGCCCAATGCGATCTCAATCTCAAGTACTTTATTTGAGCGTAGACTGCCAGTTGGCTTGCGGTCGTGCCTATTCCAGGGAAACATATCTTTATGCCCGGTCTGATCCGGGCATAGTGAATGCCTGCCACAAACAGAAGGATATTGACTTGTGCTTGGATGGTTGGAGGGTCTGAGCGGAATAATGGGGGCTGCTCAGGTAAGCAAGCTCCAGCGCAAGATGAACATAAACAAAGCCTTGGACAAGGCATACAGCTCGGAGGGCAGAGCATTTTCATGCTCATCAGCCAATATGGCAAATCCTTGACTGCTTGCTGGCATGTCGAGACGAAAGCGCAGCTTCGAGTTTTTGGGCTTGCCAATCTGTCTTGTCCAGGAGTGGGAGGGATGGGCAATGTCCTTCTTGCTGGACGCTCCACTTTCAGCCTTTGCTGGCGTAGCTGGCTCGCTTTCTCTTTATCCATTCTGCGCCAAGCTGAAATGTCTGTGCTGCCACAGTACGCTCGAATGTCTTTCTGGGGGCAAAGCCAGCACAATGGCCCTTTTCCGAAAGTTGCGCGGCCTGGTTGGTTCATGGACCGCTTTGCAAACTGTTTCTCTTACCTGCACAAAAGAAGCACTACATCAAGCAACAGACACATCTGTGAGAAACACATGGCAGTCCTGGCCAGGTCTCACGCCTGCAAAGGACCCAATCTTCAAGTCCATTGGCTTGACTTGCATCAAAGACCTGGGAGAGTGGAAGTACTACAGAGCCCCGGCTGGAAACGTTTGGCAAATTTGGTGTTGAAGGTAACACGTGCTGTTTTTCACGTTTTTTTGAAACGTGCACCAGGTCCTTGGTTCGATCCCTGAGTTGATTGGAGCCAATCAAGCACTTGATTCAGGATGGGCAAAGGCCATTTGCACTCTTGCGGAAGTCGAGTGCGCGAACGGTGCTTCTTGCTGAGTCC